TGCATCCTCGCCTGAATCCATGGACAACACCTTAAACAAAAAGGCGCACTGGTCACAACAACACAGCAACAACACTGGAAAAAACGCTGGATGTTTGTTCCTGATGATATTTCTGTGAGCCAAAGTTCAAACATCTGCAGACAGACCTTTTTGCACATGCTGTAGATGACCTCCAAGTGCTTCGGACTGGACAGGAGCATGTCCGTGTCCACGGTAACGTAGTTGTGCAAAAGCGGCATCATATCTGTGACATAAACACAATTCATACTTTGAATCTCCAACAGAGTTTTCATATCAGCTTTACCCAACATGAATCATTACTTTTATTATTCAAGTTGTTGTTGTTGTTATTTTTAATACGTTTCATATTCTTGGAACTATGTGACACAACCTCTGTGTATTCACACAAAAATCATGTGAATCATCTGCAGCTGTTTTCACAGAGACGTGTAAAAATACCAACACAGCATCAAACTTACACAAATGTATATTTTTTAATAAATATGGTAATAGGCTGATTTACTGTCTTAATGTGGCTACACGTCACTTTCTTTGTTGCTACCAATTTGTGGTTTCACAGCTATTGTGATAACAGAAAAACTTTTTATGATTAATATTTTAAACGTGTGAACTATGCGCTTGTTTCCGCCTCTCAGGGGAGATCATTTCCTCTATTTCTGGGCAGCTGCAGACGGTTAATTAGGTTAAATAACACATTTAGACGGATGCTGGAACTTAAGCAGACGTATTTTATATAATTTGAAAATTTATGGACAAAACAACACAAACACAACTTCTGCACGTATCCAGGAGGAAAATACCAAATACAGTCAAGAGTTAGTGGAGATGAAACTGTAGGACATACCTGTGAAGTAATCAAAGCAGTCATGCTGGAAGACCTCATACAGGACGCCTAACAGCTGCCACATCTGGGGGGAGATGGTCTGACAGGTAAGGCCAAATGCCAGTGACAGGATCTCCTCATAGAATTCTGCAGCGGTTAAAGGATGACAATGACACTCTGCCACATCGCTGAGATACAAGAGAAAGACAATCCAACACCGCTAACAGCAAACATCTCGGTGCCTGTTTACAGACCACTCAGCATGAACATGCAGTCTCTACACATACTTCCATTAAATGCAAGAGATAAAACGTGACACCAGCGTATGAGACGGCTTCCTAATTAACTAATCTAGAGATCACTGTGGCTCTTAATGACGACAGCAAGGAATGTATTTACTGAAATAACTAAATTAATTCATTAATAAAATTTGGAACACTTGCAATATCTAGGACAAGGGAAAAGTGTGAAAATGTGGAGGAAGAATTTGAAAAGGGAGGCCCCCCCCTGCCAAAACAAACAAAAAAACACACTCTTTGGACTGCCCGTGCACACACACCTGCCATACCTATGATGGGTTTCTGCAACACCAGGCCAATCACCTGCAAACAGATCCCCTCTAGCTGCTGTGTGATCTGAGAGATGAAAACAAATAAGGCGTCAAACATTCACCACTGTCCCAAATTCAAATACTTATTGCGTGTGTGCGTGTGTGTGCGTGTGTGTGCGTATTTGTGTGCGCCTCGGACCTCTTTGTGGTCTTCCATCACGGTGAGGATGGTGTCAATTGTACTGAGGATACCAAGAGCCATGACAGTCTTATCTTCGTTCTCCTCGTACTCCTCACTCTGTAGAACTCTTGTGAAGATCTCTGCCTGCCGAACACACACACACACACACACACACACACACACACACACACACACACACACACACACA